ATTATCGATTCTTGTGTTCTGCATTAAACTATTTATAGTTTAAGGGCCTGGTTAGAATTACTGCCTTAGACTAGGAATAGCTAAGAGCTGAATATAAAATGATGTGGCCTTAGATTAAGAATAATTTAAGAGCATTATTGATATATTGAATATCAAATGACTTGGAATAAAAAATTGAAAATATTATGAATGTTTGAACCATATATTGTGTGCATGATATTAAATGGTTGATTATGAATTGAGATTCAATTTATGTGGATGTTCGACGCTTTAGATATGCTTACTCAGCTTCACCGCTGAGCGTGTAGTGTGTTTTATTTGCTACACGCAGGTAAACAGAAAGATTAATGTGATCCTGGCGGCAGATTGGGCGAGATTGTCGGGATGGATGTGACAAGTTTTGAAATGATTTATGATATGTCAATATTAAATTCGCTTCCGCAATATTGTTAAATAGTCCGTACTGTATATGTTATGAAAAATATTATTGAGATTAATAAAGTGTGTTTGAAAAGTTTTAAATTTTACGATTACCAAGTTAAATACTTTAGTCCGAATGGGGCTGCAGACCTGGACGGATTAGGGTGTTACACCAATTTTACCCTGGTTCACCACAACTTGTGAGACTCCGCAGGATTTTCCTCACGAGATCCTTGTTGGCGTAAGTCTTTTTGAGAGCATGAAGGTCGTTGATGATCTTTGAGAACCGGTCGAACATGTCATCGATTTTCTCACCTTCTTTCATTCGGAACATTTCATACTCTTGAGTGAGAAAATCGATCTTGGCTTCACGAACTTGATTAGTACCTTCGTACGTCACTTCAAGCTTGTCCCACATCTCTTTGGCGGTTGTGCAGCAGGAGATTTTCCGGTAGTCATTGGGGTTGACCGCACAATATAGCATATTGATGGCCTTTGCATAATTCTCAATCTTCTTGATGTCCTCGGCATCAAACTCATCTTCGGTCTTGGGGATCAACTTGTCGTTAACTTTCTTCATCGGGATTTCCTCTCCGTTTTTGATGACCAACCATAATTGGAAGTTGGTGGAACGGATATAGATTCTCATCCGTTCCTTCCAATAGGAATAGTTGGTGCCGTCAAAGAGTGGTGGCCTAGAAGTTGATTGACCTTCTCCAATTCCTGCATAGAGATTTCTAGAAGAAGAACCCATGATCGCTTTACTCTCAAACGGTTAAGTTTGGACGCGAGTTAGGCTCTCATACCAATTGTTAGAATAAAAGACCAACGCTAGAGGGGGGGTGAATAGTGTTTGATCAAGAAATCGCAGGAATAAAAAATTAATAAACGAGAAGTAAAGAGAAGAGTAAGAGGCACACCGATTTTACCCTGGTTCACCACAACTTGTGGCTAATCCAGCCTCCCGAGAGACTCTCTCGAGCTACACTACTATCTCGTTAAGCTTAACGGTGCTTAACAAACCCGTACAACTTGAGAGTTCGTGTCACACGAACCTCAACGAACCTTCGAAGGAAACAACCCTTCCTTCGAACAACAAGAGAAATAATTTCTCTTGTCAAGTGTCTAAGAACACTAAACTCACTCAAGAACAATACTCTCTTTTAGAGTGGATACTGAGTAACTAAGAACGCTCAAGAACACAACACAAGCTTCACAAAAATGGCTCTCAAAAAGCTATGAATAAAGGATGAATGATTTGCAATGAAGGAGTAGAGATTGTGAAGTAATGTGATGATATAAAACAGACCCAAACACCCCATTTTATAGTGGAAACATAGGCTCCAACGGATCAAAACATTTAAGGGGTGATTGGCACAATTTGTGGGATTTGATTAAATTTGGATCTGCTGAAATTCACCTAGACAGCGCTGTCCTAGGCTTGGACATCGCTGTTCTAGGCTTACGTTTTGAAAATTGGGAAGCAACGGTCATGCCAACAGCGATGTCCAATACTCCTACATCGCTGTTTTGGCTGTTGACTTCCAAACAAGGAAAGTTTTAGCCTTAAATCCCTTCCAACGGTCAGGTCCCTACATCGATGTTCAATACTTGAACATCGCTGTTTAGGTCTGACTTTGAAGGTGGAGTTTTGGCCTGACAGCGCTGTTGCTGGGTCAACATCGCTGTCCAAAAACTTTCTGCCAATGCACTATATTTTTGGCTTAGGTTGGACAGCGCTGTAGGGAAGGCTACATCGTTGTTCCAAATGTTTCAGGAAACCCAACCTTGGCTCAACAGCGATGTCTAATATGCAACATCGCTGTTGGAAGACTTAACGCCAAACCATGGTTTTCAGCTACTCAAGCCAGACAGCGCTGTTGGTTGCACCAACATCGCTATTGGGCTGGTTTAGCCAGACCCATGGTTGGTTTAGTCATGCCGTTAGCCGATGTTAAAAACGTAAGTTCTCCAAAATAAAAACCAAGTGTTGAAAACATTTGTTTATTGCATTTTGCTAAGAAATCAAGTAAAACAACTCAAAAACCACGTCATTTAGTTGAAAACCACGGCTAACCAAGTTTGTGTCGTTTCGCATGGTTTTCACTAAACGACCAAAAACGGAAGGTGGTTTTTGAAGCGTTTTTGTTGGAGAACTATTTAAATATGCCCAGAAGTAAAAACCAATCATAAAGAGTTGAAAACCACTTGGTTGGTTCGGATGCCAAAAACCAATGCCGAAAACCGAAAGCCGAACGCCGGTTTCTAAAAGCCGAACACCGGATGACTTGGTTTTTGGTTTAGGCGAACTCCAAGTGTTTTTAGGCATGTTTAAAACTTAAGAAAAACATTTTTGAATATGCAAAAAAAATGTTTTGTTGAAAAGAGCCTAGAGAGCTAAGGTTTGAAAGTTTGTGCCGGTCTTGATCACATTAAGACCGACTCAATACAATTCTAAGTCTACGTTCTTGGTTCTTGGTTCTCAAATCATCATGCCATCTTCCTTCGCTTTGGTTTTGCTCACTTTAACCTTGTTATGTCACGGCGGTTTTGCATTATCAAAACCTGTCATAAAACGAACACGGTTTAGTATGACGTAGACGTAAACCCGTGTTCCAACAGTTTCCCCCTTTTTGATAATGGCAAACAAGACGGGGATATGCATACTAAGGGATATTTGATTTTCAAAAAGTTGTGAAAAATTTCCCCCTTAATTTGTGGTTTAAAGAAATTAGTCGGATTAAAATCAAACGGTCTCGGTTTTAGAGGCGTTCCCCCTTAGTATATGCATAGCCCTTTTCTTCCCCCTTTTGACATTAACAAAAAGATAAAAGATAATTTTATTTATTAAAGGGAAAAGGCGGAGTACAACGGAAGTAATAATAATAAAAAGCAAGACAATTGAAGAAAGAAGAGATAAAAATTCTAGGTGTGGCCTAGTCTTCGTCTTCGGTTTCCTCCTCGTCATCGTCGACGTCCATCTCATCGCCGTCATTGGCGTCATCGAACTCGTCCTCGTCCGGGGAGTTTGACGGGGCGTAGGAGCCATCCTCTTCGTCCTCGTCACCGTACACTTGCCCAAGGAACGTGCCTTGGTACGGTGGGGGGACGTAGTTGATGCGTTGGAAGTATGCGTTCATGGCGTGCCCTTGGCGTTGAACAGCCTCCTCGAGCCGCTCAAGGTAGCCGGTTGAGGGAGTCGGCGATGGAGGCAAGGTTGGCTCGGGCCTGGGGTTCGGCTGGACCAGCAGTAGAACGGCGCCGTGGCGCGGCAGTGGCAGGTCCGGCGTTGTCCGACCGCTTCTTGAAGGTTTGGGTGCTGATCGCCCAAATCTTCGTGGCCTTCGTGAGTGGTCCAACGGTGGTGGTCACCTTGAACCGTTCAAGGATGTCCATCACCACGAACGGGTACGGGAGGAGGTGATCGTGGTCGGTGGACGCGGCAATCGTCATGTTGATCATGACAAACTTTGCCCAATTGATTGGGGCCGAGTGCATGATCGCATGGATGAGCTTGAGGTCCTCACCGGACATGATTGTGTGGTCGTACTTCCGGGGTTTGATGATCCGGGACACGATGTAGAGAACGAGACGGCCTTCGGGGTTAGTGGAGTGGATGGTGGGGTGGCCCGAGGCATGGCGGATGAGCTCGGTGATGCCAAGCTCGTTGAGGATATTACTCTCGTTGTTGAGCACCCAGTCTTCTCTGCCATAGTGGGAGATGTCTTCGCCTTGGAAGGGGAGGCCGGCGATGCGCCCAAGCTGCTCCACGGTGAGCTCGATCAACGTGCTCTTGACAAGCGAGTAGAGCACGCCGTCCTCACGCCGAAGGTTGGAGTAGAAGGCTCGGATCAGCGCCGGGTTGATCTCCTTTCGCGCCCGGGAGACGAATGGCCAAAGGCCGGCTTGATGAAGCTGCGCGTCGAGGTCGTCGTAGCCCTGCAGCTCCGGGTAGCGCTCCAGGATCATCCGTGGGGGAGCCACAACCCGTTTAGATAAGAAAGTGAGAAAGCGGGTGCGCTCGTCCTCGGAATCGAACCAGAGGTACGATCCGTCTCCATAGTAGAGGCGCTCCTCGGAGTTGGTTGCCGGTGCCCGGGATTTGGCTTTGGATTTGCTGGAAGCTCCTGCCCTGTTCTTATCTTTGCCCATGATGAAGAATTCTAAAAAAAAGATTAGAGAAGACAAAAATATGCAAGGGAATGAAGAGATTTGTGTTTGTGTGTGGAGAAGTGAGGAGAGGAGGCTCCAATATATAGGAGAAGAGAGTTCCAACGTTCAAAATTCAAAAAAAAATGGCTGTTGGAGTAATTAATGCCCATGCCAACGGGTATTTTTTTGAAAATTTTGACTGAACAGCGATGTTCTACAGGCGACATCGCTGTTGGGACAGCGCTCTTGTGCCTTGTACAGCGCTGTTCTGCGTCAAGTTTTAAAAAAAACAGGAGTCAAAAGGACAGCGATGTTGAGTACCCTACAGCGATGTTCCAAAAGTTTCTGGAATTGTGTAAGGGTTTGAACCCATTAGAACAGCGCTGTTGGGTTTTTCTACATCGCTGTTTTACGATAGAGGAAAAATTTGTAAAAGTGGACAGCGTTGTTGCAAAGGTGGACAGCGCTGTTGGAAAACTTTCTAGTTTTGTTTGAAAACAAGGTATAAGGGAAAGGGAACTCCTTGGGACAGCGCTGTTGGCCTCGTGTACAGCGCTATTGGCAAACTTTTTAGTTGACGTTGTTTCTCTCAACAGCGCTGTTGGGTCTCCTGGACAGTGCTGTTTGCATGGTTCCCCCTGATTTCAAGAACGGGGTACCTGCAAAAAAAGAAAAAATTCTCCGACGCTCAAGTTAGTAAACGTTTAATAAGTTTAGATGCACAACTTAGATCATCGTGGAGTCAAGGATTCCGAGTTCACTTCGAATGCGGAAGAACGACTCTTTCTCTAAAGGTTTTGGGAAAATGTCTGCTAATTGGTTGTGTGTTTCAACAAACTCAATTTCGACATCACCTTTGAGAACATGATCTCTAATGAAATGATGCTTAATGTCAATGTGTTTCGTCCTTGAGTGAAGAACGGGGTTCTTCGTCAAGCTTATGGCGCTAGTATTATCACAACGAAGAGGGACGTGATTGATACTAAGGCCATAGTCCACGAGTTGTTGCTTCATCCAAAGGATTTGAGCACAACAACTACCGGCGGCTACATATTCCGCTTCGGTTGTGGATAACGCAACACTCACTTGTTTCTTGCTAAACCATGAAACTAAAGAGCTACCAAGTAAGTGGCAAGTCCCACTTGTACTTTTACGGTCCAATTTGCAACGGGCAAAGTCCAAGTCGGAATAGCCAACGAGATGACAAGAAGAGCCTTTTGGATACCACAGTCCAACATTAACCGTGCCGGCAAGGTATTTCATGATCCGTTTTACCGCCGTTATGTGCGATTCCTTCGGACACGATTGATACCTTGCGCAAAGGCATACGCTAAACATGATATCCGGCCTACTAGCGGTAAGATAGAGAAGGGATCCGATCATACCTCGATACTTTTTGACTTCTACTTCCTTACCTTTCTCGTCTTTGTCAAGATGGTCAGACGTGCTCATTGGGGTCGCCATGGCTTTGGCGTTGTCCATTTCAAATCGTTTTAGGAGCTCCTTGCAATACTTAGCTTGGAAAATGAACGTGCCATCTTTCATTTGCTTGACTTGGAGTCCCAAAAAGAATGTGAGCTCGCCCATCATTGACATTTCAAATTCGCTAGTCATTAGCGTTGAGAATTCCTTGCACAAAGACTCATTAGTAGCACCGAATATAATATCGTCTACATAAACTTGAACAAAAAGGATGTTATTGTTTTTACTCTTGATAAAAAGTGTGGTGTCTACCTTTCCCCTTTGGAAACCACTATCCAAAAGAAATTTACTCAAACATTCGTACCAAGCACGGGGTGCTTGTTTAAGACCGTAGAGCGCTT